GCAGTGGGGTGGAACTAGGTGGTCTTTAAGGTCCCTTCCAACCCAAACCATTCTATGCTTCTGTAGTCAAGAAGTTAGCAGAAAGATTGGAACATGCTTGTGTTTTAATCCATGTGACTAATGATTTGTTTAAAGTTTTATATTTTTGATAATTGCACTGTACAAAATCAAAATACCATCTCTTGCGTGACTGAATTAACTCCTTTGCCATTTAAAGATTATTAAGTAACGTAGAGCTCTGTATAGAGAGGATTTGTGAGTTTTAATGTAACATTCTTGCTTTTCACTCAAAAGGACATGTGCCATTAGGTAACAAAAAGGTCATTCATAAATTAGGAAGAAGAAAATGGTTTTCAAGTAGTGTCTTTAATGAAAACCCTGCTGTTGATGCTATGGAGATGAAATTTTAAGTAATTGAAATACAGAATCTGTTTCCTATTTCTAATTTCCACAATGTAAAATAGAGGGGGCGGAGGAAGGGGGAAAAAAAATTGTGAAGAAAAATGTTGATAGCTTAAAAATACCTGAATAGTATGTCAGATAACAGGGAAGTTTAAGCCAGAAGTTTACATGCATCTCAGCATCAGTGCTCTGGAAAATTTGGCACTTCATGAAACCTTAAATGTAGATAGTTGAACAAAATGTTTGTCTGGACACTTTTAATTTAGGAAGATAAAAATCATAAAAGAAATCTGAGGAGATTTTTGAGAAATTCTGGTGCATTTAAAAATACTCTCCTCTCCCTCTCCTGTTGCTCTTGGATTATTGTCAAGGGAAGCCTTCTGCAATTTCAACAACAGCTCTAATCCTATAATCAGATCCAGGCACAGATTGTGGAGTTCAGTGGAATCATCTATGTGGGTTTAGCGGTTATAAATCAAATTGCAGGATTACAGATTTATTTTTCAATATTTAGAATTTTTTGCTTTTTGCACTCAATCTGAAAAATGGAAATAGAAAAGTTAGCTTTACCACCCAGAATGTCTGGATTGTGAGCAACCAAAGAAAATATATTAATCCAGATGCACATTTTAAATATTACTGTCTTGCAGAAATTAAGTTCGTTGGCAATTTACACAGGTGAGTAGGAGGACATTCCTATTTGTCTGTCTGATTGTGCGTATTCTGACTCTCACTTTCAGCAAGACTGTGACAGGTTTTACTTGCATCTCTGATCCATCAGGTGTTCAAAAAAAGCCTTGAAACAACTTCTGGTATTTGGGATTTTATAAATTACACTGCGTGTAAACTTGCTACTTGAGTATTTTGACACCGCTCAGGACTTACCCTTGAACTAATTTCAATACTAAAATTCCCCTTTCTCTTTCAAATGACTATAGTATTTCTTACTGTTGTGTAATACCTTAAATGGCAGCTGCTTTTGATCACAAGGTGACCTGCATTTGAGTGAGCAGTGAGGTGATCTTAGTGACTTACTTTCACAACAGAAGGTAGTTAGAAGAGCATCAATCCAGTAAATAGCTCTTTGAAGTCTTAACTGAGGTAGGTATCGTTTTTCTGGGACAACTTAAGCTAGAAAAGCCAGTAAACCTGCACGCTTTTTTAAAATGAGACTGGCAGAGCAACCAGTTGGCAGCTATGAGTAGGAGTTTGCAAGCATATGGAGTGTAATGACAAATGAAGCGTGATGCTAACGGAGTCATGTACATTAGAAGTAAGCTTCAGATTGCTCCCACACGTTAATGGGTATCTAGGCCAGGGTCCTGCAGAAAGCTTAAACTTTGATACCAAATCTCCATGGGACTTTCCTGAGATGTTGATTCCTACAAAAATCCAGATTCAGAGAAGCTGCTAGAGACAAATGAGGTGATAGTAGATACTCAGGTAAGCCCCACCTTATCCACAGTGAAAGCCATAAAGGAAAGATGTATAATAACGACAAGATGTGTATGATACTGAAGTATGGCAGTCAGTGATTTGACAATCGCAGAACAGAACAAAGAGAAGACTGCGTGAAGGCTCAGTGACAACATTATGCTTCTGTGTGAAAATAGATTCTTTCATTTCAGGGAGAGACGAATGAGAGGGATGTGATAGTGGCAATGTGGAGAGAAAAGGCTAGAGAAAGTAAATTGGGATGTGGAATTGCTCTTTTCACCATCCAAGGACAAAGATAATGAGGTGAAAGGCAACAAATTGAAACCAAATAGAAAGTACTTCTCTTATGGAAAATGTAACCACAGAGATCTTTGCTGGGTATTCCTTGAGGTCATGAAATTGTTAGGGCTAAAAAAAAATTGCTTCAGAGCAATCAAAACTGAATAAAGGTGTTATATATTCTGTGGATTAAAAACTTGGTTTAGGGTGTAAGGCACATGCTGGGTGAGAAGATATTTTTGTCTTGGAAGTTGTGCAGTAGTTTTCATCTGTAAGGCTGCTTCTATCTTGTCTGAAGCAACTATAATACTGCGGTTGGAGCAGTGAGCTAGACTAATTGGACCTACTGGTCTCATCTGCAGTGGCACTTCTTGTGTTCCTGTCAGCTTAACAAAATGTTGTTGGTTTTCTTTAATACTCAGATCCTGAATACATTTACAACTAGGCCTACTCTTATACCTGATGGTAAATGTTAGCAATGTTTATGCTGTCTGAATTCGAGTCTATAAGCTCATCAGATGGAGACCAATCTTCTGAGGTGCTAAGTGTTCTGATCAGAAATATGCCTTGGAGCACTGTAAGCACCACCACGCTATGAAAGATAAAGCACCCAGGATGAAAATACAGAGTATTGCTGTGAATATTACGGGTCACAGGAGCAGGCTTCAGGGCTGTAGTTAAAAAAAAACCAAAAAACAAAAAAAAAACCAAAAAAAAACCACAAACAAAAAAACCAACCAACCAACCAAAACCAAAAAAACACCACAAAACCAAACAAAAACAAAACCAAAAAAACCCACAAACAAAAAACCAAAACCAAGCACCCCGACCAAAACCAAAAAAAAACACAAACAAAAAACCAAAACCAAGCACCCCGACCAACCACAACCCACAAACCACCACCCTGTGATCAAAGTACATGGTTAGCCTCAGTGGGCACTTCTTTGTCTGTTATTAAACATAAAAATGTGTTGGGGTTTAAGGTAAGGAACTCTAAACCAGCATTTTTCTATAAGTTTGGTTTTCTTTTGGTACATGCCATATAGCTCACGTGCTCAGCAGAGCTTTGAAATAGACTCAAGCAAGCAGAGCAGACTACAGCCGCCTGGAAGGTAGAATTTGCAGAACTGACCAATAAACTTACCAAGGATCCTGTTAACTGACGTGTTTACAAAGGCAGCGCACGCATAAAGTGAGACTTGCCCAACAGGGGTTACTGATGTGCCTGGATCTGTCACCCTCTTAGCCTTGGGTGTCTGTCCATTACCACCTCTGTAAATGTTCTTGACATCCAGCGTTTGTTCAAAAACATTTTTTGAGAATTTGAGTCTTAATGGGTCCATAACGGAATGGAAGCTTTAGGGGATAACTGTTTAATACTTGATTGTAGTATTTAGTTAGCTTGTGATTTATTTTTTAGAGGTAATGCTTGAGGCTTAAAGGGGGTGTTGGTGTTGGAATGCGACCACATTGCGTTTTCAGGTGGCCTTTCTATTAAAAGTTAAGGAGACAAAAGCTGTGAGAATTGTTCTTAGTGCTCAAGATAAGTAGATGCTGCATGTCCTGGGTTTTAAAGTAACACGGTGGAAACTTTGTCCTAGCTTTGAAGATAGCGTTACTGAAGGCTTGGAACTGAAGCCTAGAACTAGTACCATGTGTAGCAATCTAGTATAGGTTTTACTACACACAATCCCAAAGGGAATGATTTGGGGCTTTTGTTGGTGAGATTTAAGTTAAGCAGCTGAACTAGGAGGTTTACTTCAGTTCTGAGTTATGTAGCAGTAATGGGACCTGCTGAGGACAGACTTTTAAACTGCTGTCTCTTGTGGTTTTGGCTTGCATTAGTATTGGAACTAGTGGCTATCTCTGTGAGAGCCAAAATAAATGGGTAACAATTAGATGAGCAGCCCCAAGCTTTCCCTCCTTGGTCAGACTTCAGCTAGAGTTTTGGTGTGGAACATTTCGTGAAGGATCAGAAATGCAAAATGGTATAGCTGTCTCACTGGGGTGGTTAGATTAGATTTTCATGGTTGGGTATCTCCCTGTTGAGAAAGCTTTTATTCCTTTCTTAGCTGCCAGTTGTGCTCTGTCATTACTGTGGGTTTTATGCAGGTACAACAAATGTATATCTAATCCTTGTTAGGTCTTGCTGATGAAATTTAGTCAGATTAAATGGTGCTACGTGTCTTGCTTCCTGCAAGGTGCTGATCTAATAGGTCTGAGCACTTAGCCACTGAAGAAAAGTAATGAAACATCCACTGACTTAAGCAGGAGTAGGCTCGAACTGAAATTAAGATACTGACAAAGAAGAGTGGAAAACAAACAAGACTGGAGAAACCTAGTTCCATGGTGGTTTTTGCAGTAAATATTTATCTTCAGCTTCTTTTAAATACAACGACAAGAAGAAAGAAAATACCTGATTTTCCTGGAGGAAACAGACATTCTTTATGGAAAAGTATTTGCCGTATAATGCCATGACCCTTTTTCCCAATAGTTGCATTTAAAATCTTGTGTTCAAACTGTCTTTTGCTCTGGGTGGTATGCTGGTCCTCTAGGCAGTGCCAAGGTATTTTAATATCCATAGTGTAGGAGAGCATCACAAATTTAAGCGAGGTAAATGGTGCTATTACAGGTATTGGCAGATGGTATTTTAATGCAACTGCTTTACACAAAGCTCTTATCCTTCCCTGCTTGGTATAGAAGGTGGATAATAGTGTTAGGGGTTTTGGCAGTGTTTGCTTTTGGCGGTTTTTTAATACTTCAGTCTTACTGTTGAGCCACTTCAAATATGTTTCCTTTTCCTCTCCAGATAACAAGGAACTTTACCTTACAAAGGCATTTCACAAGGCATTTCTAGAAGTTAACGAGGAAGGATCAGAAGCTGCTGCTGCCTCAGGTACATGACTGAAAAGCAGAACTAAATCAAATGTCTGTTTATTCCATGTTAATTAATTTTTTAAAACTACTTGCTGTACAGCCAGGAAGGCTAAATAGCGTGTAGCATGAAGACACAGCATAGCAAGTACACTCCTTTTCAGAAGAGAATTTTGGAAATGAGAAGTGTTACCATTTTTTTAGCATGGTGTGTTTCACAAAGAATTTTGAGCATCCTGTGGGAAACTTTTTCTTTATTTTACTTCTGATTGTCAGGAGGATACAGACTGCAACTTATATTTTCTTTATGGAACTTAAGCATTGGTAAATTTTATCAGCTAATTGACATGGTCAGAGGCATTTGAACCAGAATAGTTAGTTGAGAGTTGTTGCAATGGCATTTTAATAAGCTCATATAGAGAGATGCAAGATGGGAAGCGCTAAATGCGAAAACATAGCTGGCCCCTATTAATGCTAGAAGGCCAGGTGGTTGGTTTACTTGGTTGTCACGTGCTTTTCCTGAAAATGAGCTACATTAGTTGCCGATATGTATCGTTAGGTGATTTCTGATTGCCTCTATTTGTACCAGTCTTTGAGGAGAGGAGGAATTAATTCCCTGGTCATGAATATTGGTAACTGTGTTGAATTGTAACATTAATATGGACAGAGGTTACTGGCATGCATGAGTCTTTATTAACAGTGCAGGGAAAATGTGAAAGTAGATGAAACGCTGGGAAATAATAATAATATCCTGGAGAAATCTGTGCATCTCCCCCAGAAAATTACAAAGAGCCAAATTCTGCCTGATTCCCAGTTAATTTTAATTTCAACCTCTGCATTATTGAAAGACTCAAGCTAAAAGCTGCAAGATCAGCCCATGAGTTGTTGCATATTCCATAGTTAGTAAGGGTTCCCTTTTACTATCAACTGCAGGCTTGGAGCTGTGTGAAACAGGTCAGCAGTGCTGTCTAACGTAATGCATTTTCTATCTACAAGGGAGCATAACTCCTCTTCAGGTTCTGGGTCTTAAAATTTGTAAGCTGCTCTCTCAGCCCAGGAAATTGTGCCCCTCTCCATTGTTGATCAGTCTTAAAGCGTAGATAGGTGTGCAATTACTCTGAGGGTCGCTTTCATTTTTAGTTAGATTTTTCATGCTATTTCTTGGTCATGCTTAGGGCTGAGAGTGTGGGACTTGAGTGTCTGCTCACGAGCTTCACACGTGTCTTCATGGTGAGCAGGAGAATGTGCAGTGATATTTAACTGAAAGTTGCCTATCTTCTTTTTCCTTTAGGAATGATTGCCATTAGCAGAATGGCAGTGCTGTATCCCCAAGTTATAGTTGACCATCCCTTTTTCTTTTTGGTCAGAAACAGAAGAACAGGTGAGAATATTGCAGACTCTTCCACAGTTTTCACCGTGCATCATCAAGTATACAAAAGAAAATTGCATATTTTAATCAATGAACTGGCCTTGTATTATGAATTTTCCTAATTTGTCTTAAAATACCTAATATTGAAAGACTCACCTTTTCTATGGCCTCTTAATGTTTCTCCAAGTAAGACACCGAAATATGACTTAATCTTGAAAAATATTGACAATTATGTGATTAAAAACCCCAGGGAAGAAAAATTCACCATTTTTCTTCAGGGAACACAGTGTTATTACCTTGAATATCCATAATCACTGCATTCCATAAGAGCTTGGCTGCAGTAAGATCAGTGAGATGTTCCTGGTACCAAAAGATTTGCATAATGGACAGTTATTACAGCTATGAATAATTTCTGTTGCGCTCTTGAAGCGTTCGGTGGCAGGCAAGGAGTGAGAACAGCACTCAGTAGCAAAATGGGCAATGATTAAATAATTCCTTAGTATCACATTTGTAATTTGTCTTAATGCCGTGGATGTGACTGGGTGGCAAAACACTACTGTGCACCCACAGGCTGTCATACGGGTCTGTGTGTTGTATCTTATGTATTCTACAAGCAAACTCTGGTAGGTACAGTTGACAGGTTTTTTTCTGTATTTGAGAACCCCACCGTAGGTATCAATGTTTATTAAACCATACAGGTTGCAGTAACGCTTACAGTGTAACTAGGTAGGACCACTCGTGTGCAAGGAAGGCATGATGCTAACTCTTAGGGTTGTTTGGGTTTTTTTTAAACCAAAACTAAGTTGAGTATCCTTTCTGTTGTAGACATAATTAGGCAAAAATGCGTCTGGAGGAGGGTATCTGCCCTTTTCCCTACTCAAGATACAAAAATCTCCTCAAAAAGAAAAGGTTAAATCATAACAGAGTACAGCTTGGTAGCTTTGGGGCAGTTCTTAGTGTTGCACGGGCCTTGTTGTTGGATGCAGAAAGAGGAATTGCCAACAACTATAGTTAAAGCCTGAAAGCTTGTACCAATCTAGAAATCTAAGGTTAGAAACCTTTTGAAAACGATCTGTGATGGTTACCTTTCTCAAGAATACCCTAAGTGCTCATGATCGATTACTCTGTTTAAACAGGTTAGACAGAAATGTATAAAATGGGAAAGTTGTAAATGGTGATTAAACTGCATAGGGGAGCAGTATTCGTATAGAAGATCCCTTTTGCGGGCTGCATGCTCTAACGTGGAATAAATCTGGGAACTCAAGTTATCTCTCTGTTAATAATCATGAACTGAGTGGTGTGGAGCTTCTGGGACTCACTTTTAATTCTATGGGGAACATTGTCCAGCAGCTCAGGCACGTGGAGGTCAGAAGTGATCATGAAGCTGTTCACGCTTCAGTTCAGGTTAGCTGCTGCCTTTGGAGCCCCCAGCCTAGAAACCAGTGCTGTGTCATAACCAGTTGACATCCGTGGCAGTACTTCATGGGCCTTCATCAGAACCATTGACATGAGTGAGCCTTTATGTTGATTTCTGGTGGGTTTTCAGTCAAGCCTTTAGAATAAGCAGAGGGACACTGAAAGATTTCACTGTTCTTGTCTGTACTGTGTCTGTACTGAATACAAAGAGGTCCTCTTATCTCAGGCTATTGATCCATCACCTTTCATGACTACCAAGTTCTCAGGGACATACATTCCTATAAAAATTGTGCACGACGTGCTCTAGAACTTAACGGTATTTGCTGTCTCCTAACCTCGGCTTTTCCTTTTGGTGCTGACATCTTTCCTTCCCTTTCTCCCTTCCACAGGTACTGTGTTATTCATGGGAAGGGTAATGCACCCTGAAGCAATGAATACGAGTGGCCATGACTTCGAAGAGCTTTAACTGCCACCAGCTACCAAAAGAAGAGATAAGCACATAGAGTTCAAAGTTAATATATTTAAGGTTTGCTGCGTTTTCCCCCCAAGATATTGTTTAAAAATGCTTTCAGATCTGACTGTGTGCAAGTCAGTTTCCAGAGGAAAGCTTACAGTATTAAAGTAATGGTTCTGTTTTTGTCATGGTGATTGCTGTGTCCTTAAAATAAAATTGTGTATATGTCAACAACTGTTTCTTGTTCTAATGAGTTGTAAAGCAAAAAACTGCGAATCCATTATGCGTAATTTTTCTTTTTACAGTCCAAAGACTGAGGTGATCAATGAGACAGGAGCAGAATGTGTGCAGCTCTGAGTAATGCAAATGGCAAACCTTGATGATAATTTGTAGAGTTGAACTACATCTGGAAAATGTGATCTCTTCTGTTCCTGTAAAAGTAGTAAACAGACTGCAATACGCTCTCATCAAAGTTAATGGAACAAATTAAGCCTAGAGGATTTTATTCTGTAAGATAACTGTGGTAGACTTTGTGTGAACTCTCCCAAGTGTGATTCTAAAATGTTGCTTTTATGAATGCTCCTGCATGTGACTCTGCAATCGACCTTCCGTAACTGTTGATGCCAATAAAATTTGATCGCATGAACATTTGAGACTAGTCAGTGTAGAATAGCTGTGTGTGTGACTGAGGTAAAATAGTGGAATAGTAATGTCATTCATGTGGACATATTTTTCTCCCTCAAAGTTGTTGTTCTACTTTGACCTATGCTTTGTAGCATCTCACTTAAGGGATCTAGAATGATCTTTCTCAAAGTAAAAAACAAAACAAAACAACCCCCTTAATTTTAAGTGTCTAAAAATGTTCTATTCATAAATAAATGTCTAAACAAACAACATAATCCTTTTTATTCCCTAACTTTTTTATTGAGAATAAACTGACAGAGGGGAGAATGACACATACCACAAGTAAATATTAGCAGGGGAATTAGTTGCTGTTTCCATTTGCAAGAGAAGTATCAGTTGTCACCAGAGAGGCATAGAATTAATTCCCCCTTTATTGTGGAAAATATAAAAAGTTATTAAAAAGGTAAGAGAGAATAGGAGAAAAGAAGGGAAGAGCTCCTTTGAAACAGATCATAAATACAAACTTTTGGATAATAAGTGGGTTTCTTCTCAGTCAACAGGAGTTTTGTCTCTTGAATTCTACGGGGACAACTGTGTGTTGGCTGAACTTTAGTTACAGGCTTCTCTGGCATACGTTCGCTTAAAAACAGCATAGACATTGCTTCACGGAGTTATTTGTGCAAGGAGAACTTCCAGGATTTGACACATTGTTCACTTTTTCTTATACTGCTGGTGCAAATCATGCAGGTCAAAGTGATGGATGTTCTCTGTGGAGGCTGGTTATGCTCCCTCGGAGAAAGGGCATTTGAACACGTTTCTAGCCTTGCCTCCTTGAATTGTTTAGTTCTGTGGCACAGAAGAAAAATGGAGCTCCCTAGTGTGTGGCTGTTGCTTATTACCCTTAGTGTATTATAGTCTGGACTTGGTGAGACAGTTTTTTGTAGTCAAATGTAGATGAAAATTGTAATTTTACTTCTGTGTAGCTAAAAATGTTATGCTTGGGAGGGGGGAAAAAGGGGGAGTGCTTCTAAGCAGGAGCAGGGGCTAATTTAACCAAGATACAGAACTAGTCTCACTGCAGGTAAAACCAGCTCCTTTGACATGGGGTTATACAAGGGCTGGTGCTTCACGTTTAAATGATTCTGTGAACATCACCTAATGTCTGTAAAAGAAAGAATCTCCTGTGGTTTTAACCTTACGGGAGTCTGGGTTTTAAGCCATTACGTTTTTTCAGGCTGATTTTTTGAGGTATTCACTCTGATTTCGGAATACATGAGAAAGCAGATGACAACCCTCAATCATGTTTATTTTCAGCCCATCAAAAGTTCTTCCTGACCAATTTTGTGTTTTCTTTGCGTTGGTTCCTTGCAGCATAGATGCGTCTTACCAAGGGAAGGACTGAAAATGAGATAGATTTGAATGAAAGCTATGGAATTATGGAAGGACAGCTGCCAGTCAGAAGTATTTATAGAGGACATCAGGCAAGTGCACAGACTTCCCTAGCAGTGAGACTGAGCATAGGTGCAAGTGGAATGATTCAGAATCTCATATTCCGAATCTGATTCTGGAAGTTGCCTTGAGTGGGCATATAGGAAAACTAGCAGAAACAGAAACACATTTTAAACACCAGTTAATTCACTTGATACTCTCCTAGTCCTTACAGTTGCAAAACAGCCATTTCGTGTTTCCTGAAAAATGAGAATTTCCTGGTTTTCAACAGCATGAATTGATTTATTACCAAATTATGCAAAGGTATTAGTTGTAGACCACAATGAGAACAGCTCTCAAACGATGTTGTTTTTCAGTCGTGATATATCTTAAGTATTGTTAATAATTTATTGAGGTATAAGAATACTAGTCCATTGTGGTTTTTAATCTAGACTTTGTATGATGTTCCCTTTGAAGATGCTATTGCTTTTTTGAGACAAATCTAGCAAGATAATTTTGATTTCTTGATCGGATTTTTTTTGGTAAGGGAAATTTGTCAGTAGTGGCTCATATGTGAGTTTAGGTGTGTAGTCTTAAAAAAAAAAATGTATTTTGTGTTGGGGGCTATATCAGAAAATAAATTACTGAAACTTCTATAATTGTGCTGTGTAAGTGACCCATGATGTGACACTGTCTGCTGAGAGCCTTCTGTGATGCAGATGGAGTTTAAGCATGAGGTGCAGTTGCCTGATGCTGTCATCTTCCCTCTTGTGTACATGTGGTGGAAATGCTTTTCAGGGCTGCAGCTGGAAAGAGTACTTTCCCTACCAATCCTTGTAGTAGTGGTGCTGCCGCTGGAGACTGACTTCTGTAACTAACAAGATCCCACTTGTACGTGACCTTGAGCACCAAACAGTTATTTCTAGATCAGGGCTACATTCAAACAAGGATTTGTCATGTGGTATGAATTACAATGGTTTTGTTGCTATTCCATGCACTAATTTTCACTATCCTTCCACAAGCCTCGATGGTGGCCAAGTAAACTGTTGTATCAGTTTCTGTAACAGAGTACGTGATATTCCTCAAACGAGTAAGATCTCAGTGTTATACTAGAAACAACAAAAAAAAATCAGTCAGTGCTTCTGTGGCTAACTTTTGTTTTTCGATGATGGACAAAAGAAGAAACCACAAGATGTCACTCTATCCTAAGAAGCTGAGAAGTACTTTCCCATTGACAGTAATCCTGGGGGAGTGTGGGAAAGCTGAATATCCTGAATAGGACTCAAGTATTTGTAGGTCTTTGTAAAATCAATGAGAGTTTCTTTAAAGCATAAATAGACCCAGGTGCTTGAGACTAATAACTGGGAGCAGGGGGAACAAACCCCCAAAAATATCTGCTTTGTGTTGCAAACTTTTCTCTGATTCTTGATAATAGATTGCTGGATTAAGTTCATTGCTCACAGGGGCATTCTTGCCCAGCTCATAGCCTGCATGACTGCATTGTGTGCTTGGTGTGGGGTGACATGAAAACGTTTGTTCTTTCAACCCATCTCCCTGAACAGCGGTAGAGCTGTGCTGCGGTTACTGCAGTGTCAGGGCTGCAATAGGAGACGTTTTCTTGACTACAAGAGAGAAATAACTAGGGTTGAAGTCGTTGATACACTGGCCCTATTATTCTGTTGTTATCTTTTGCTTATCTCTTATTTCCCCTCCCTTGCTGCCTTACATACGGTCACTGGAAGTTCTGCGTGAGCAGATTCCCAGCGTGTCCTCCCCTTGTACAGTGAGGTTACACCACTGTCAGGTGTTCTGCTCTCTTCCCAGGGAGGAGGCAATATTGTTCCTACAAGGATTTGCTAAAAAAGACAACAAGGCATACTCCAAAAGTGGCATTTACAAGCTAATTTGAGTTGTTTCTGTCCCTTTTAGTGGGCAATTTTGCTTTTGTCCCTACACTGGAAAATGGAAATACATGGATTAAAAAGGGATGATTTACCCCCAAACCCCAGTGCCAGGGAGGAGGAAAACAGCGCTTAATAACTCAGATAATACCAGCAAGTAGTGAGTTGACATCCCTTGTGAGCTACTCTGCGTATACTGACACAGTTGATGAGAAATTGTAGATTAATTTAGCATGTAAAACTGTCCCCCAGGATTTTGGATCAAGCTGCAGTAGTTACAGGGGTCCAGACAGAATGAAGGCTGCCTGCCTACTGGGGACCTTTGTTAATTGGTTCAGTAGCTTGTCTTTGGCTTCCAGCTGGCGTTGGTTAAGGGCTATAAAACAAAGTTACACATGAGAAACCGTTTGCAATCCACACAGTCGGTACTGTATAACTCATGAACAACACTGCCTATCTGTTACCCCTGTCTGCCAGGGCTTCTCAAGTGACATTCTCTTTATATGGAACTGCCTTACAGCAGCAGCCACATGAATGTTTTTCATTTCACAGCGCTAATTAGAAGCCTGAGTCATGGACCAATTGCTCTCGGCATTAGGCAAACTGAATAAAAGGATAGATAAAAGTCATGTAATGAAATGCAGTTTAAATTGCAGTTTATAGACAATAGCACAGCAAGATAGTCAAGGCTGATGAAGGATAGCAGACGTTCACAGTCACTCTGGCAGTCAGGTAAATGGAGAAAGGTGGTGAAGATAAATGTATTATCCAAACAATAGGTGAGTCTCTGCTTCGCTTGCTGTTTTAGAAATGGTTCAGGCTTTTTCAAAACACCTTACAAATGCAGCCTCCAAACTTTGTTAATGGCTGTGCCTGGAAGTCAGGCAGCTAATCGTTCTCGGGTAGGTACAACTCCAAACAAGCAGGGCGTAGCTCAAACCGTTGGCAGCTGTTTCTAAAAAGCATGGTATGCAGAACTCTTCACAGGGCTCTCGGCTTTCAGCTCTGATCAAATAGTCTGAAAGTTGTTTTTTTTTTTTCTTAACGATGTGTTTGTGACACTCTGTTCAGGGAAGCTAATCTGGCAGATAGTGGTAGTAAAATGCTATGTCTACAAGGACGTGGCTGAGGAAAAATGCTGAGATTGTTCCTGCAGCTAGGGAATTTAGCCCGTTGCCTGAGTTTTTATCTCTTCAGCCACACCGAATCACAGCATGAATGATGTTTCAGATACGACCCATGCTTTACTGATAAAAGTTGTTATAAACACGTGCCTTCTCT